TGAGCAGCTATCTGAGTAGCTATCTGAGTAGTTATCTGAGTAGCTTAACAGCATGGTAACAGCATGGTAACAGCATGGTAACATGACGCTCGTGCCACGCCCCCCTCCTTTGCAGGGGGGCGTGGTCAGCTGCAGCTCATTTGCCACAGAATCAGCCCTTGTGAAAACAGGGCTGGAATAGAGCAATTGGAGCGAAATGAGGCATGGCTAAAATGCATGATCTGTTTGGTATTTTGAAAAAAAAACTTCACAGATATGTTTTATATAGGTATGGCCCTACAATATATTATTCAAATATAGCATGATAGGTCCACTTTAAAGATATTTAAAAAACGCCATCAGAGTGACAACACCGACTGATCTCGTACGCAAAAATAAAGATAAGTACGCAGATAAAACCAGAAGGGCACTCAAAGATTAGAAAAATAGGTATTCTTGCAAATAATTTATGTTTTCGCCCCTTGATTCTGGTCCAGTGCAAAATGTAATGGGTTCCTCCCTTGGCCACTTAATACATACTTGTACATTCCACCAAGTTTAAGGAAAAACTTGCTAGTGCTTTTTATGTAATTCGGCCTACAGTACAAACAGAGAGAAAAACCTAAACCTTATCGTTAGATAAATAGACATGAACACAGGTCAGAGCCTTATGCCAAAGTGCAAGTGTACAAAAATAAACTGGTTACGTATACATACTTATACACACACTCAAAGAAAACGTGTTTAGCAGTCCAGGAACGCCCAGGGCCGGAAACGAAGCAAAGTAGATTCACCCTGTTTGCCCATATAACATGCCTGTGTTGTAAAGTGCTAAATCCAAGCACAAAGAACGTGTTGAATACAAAAGAGGCTCCTATTGAGGAGTTAGTCATGGTCTTAAAGCATTAAATAACTTTGTGCAGTTGATTTATTCATAGTGGTGTCAAATGTTTCATTCCAAGGCAGATAACATGAAGCCCATTTGTTACTAACTGTAACTGTACTGATTATCAGGAAGTCAAGTCTGTCTCCAATCTCTCCTGGCCTCATCTGGGACGTATTGCAGACTTTAATTTAAGAATTCCATTTTTAATATACGTTGAACATCAGCGTTGTGAAAGTTTATGGTCCTAAGTACCTTTTTGGCTCCACAAACTAAAAAGCCAGAGGAACTTCAACTCAGGAAAAGAACCTTCAAACTGATTCTTGAAATGTCCTTGCTACAGAATGGAGGATTTCGTGGGTCAGATCATTCTTTTTAGACTTTTAGACTATGTTAGTCACACACACTCTCACACACTTTCTGCCTCTCTTTTCTTTCCCAGGTTGGTTTGTCTCTTTTTGAAGCGAGGAGCAGACTACAACGCCAGAGACAAGACACAGAAAGACCCCATATCCATCGCCGTGGACACCGCCAACGCTGACATCGTCACTCTGTGAGTGTTTCAACAAAAACAATAAGTGACGATACAAGCTGTATAACAACATCAGCTTTTCTAACTGCTCTGCTCCCTTTCAGGCTGCGGATCGCCAAAATGAACAAGGAGATGCGGGAGATGGACGGAGCGTTTGGCCAATCAGGTCACTCGGGGGGGCATGGGTCTGGGGGTTCAATTGGAGGGACAGGAGGTGGGCGGGCTCACACCAGAAAGGGCCTAAAGGCGATAAAGAACCATATAAGTGGCTGGGCTCTGGGGGGGCATAATGATTAGAGGGGGTACCAATCTGCCCAAGAGACAGGCAGTGGGACTGATCAGCTGTTTCTGATTGTAAGCTAAACGTTATTAAGCATCACAATCACTGGTTTTGCAGTGTCATGTGGTTTAAGACATATCATTTAAGGACACATGCATCAGATACAAATGTAATTGTCTTCATTTAGAAAGCATAAAATCAGGTTCTTGTAAACCACGGGAACCAGAGCACAGGGTACGACAGCGTAAAGGAAGCAATAACAGATTTAATATATCGGTAAATACAGGAGAATGTCTGGTGAAACAGAAAGGGAGAGTGATGGGAGTCCACATCGCACTTTTAAATACAAACGCACAACATCCTGCACTTTGAAAACCCTTCACAACACCTTAGAGAGAAATTGTATGGACCTCTGTCAGGCCTGTTTGATCTGATACTGTATATTTTAGATATCTTTTAAATACAATATGTACAGTGTTCTGTTTTTATTGTGTATATTTCAATTGGGCTCTTCAGTCCAGTTGTGTAAGCTACATTTATTTTTGGGTTTCTCAAGGACGGTTTTATCCTGCTATTCTGTGAATAGCGACGCAGTTTGTTATGTATAAGAGTCGCAGCTCCGACAGTAAGCTTAAGGTTAACAGCGGGTTTGTTTGCCTTTTGTCATGTGGTTCCTTCTCAAGCTGCAAAGTCCATTCTTTCATGTCCTTTAAGTGGCTTTGTGTTTCTCGTGTAAGCTGTAATCAATCCACTCGTGAAGGAATGGAAACGTGATGCTTTTTTTTTTTTTTTCGTGTGCTTGAAAACAAACTGCTGGTCAGTATTTTACGTGCTTTATCAATGTGTGTCTTTGTTGTGTGCACTCTTCTGCCCGCTGAGATGCCCAGCTGCTCTCAACTGCTTGTGCAGTGTGCCACCTACTGCAAACTAAGAGGTAAAGTGCATGTGTGTTTATTTGTTCAGATGCATGCTTTTGCTTTGGGGCTACAACCCTTAATGTCCTGGAGAGTTATCCAGAATAAAAGATATGGTTTGAACAAGAGAAAGGCATTCATTTAAGATGAATTTAACTGCTTACAATACTTTTAAATGTCAAGCTTTAAGGCTAATGTCTTCTTCTTTTTTCTGTTCCAGGTGATGAAACCTACCAGGATATATTCAGGGACTTTTCTCACATGGCCTCGAACAACCCAGAGAAGCTCAAACGCCGCAGTGCCGATCCCAAATCGTACCCTGCCTGAACCACATTTCACACAGAAAACATGTATCATAGTAACTCGCCGGCATGCAGACACACATTTCTCCTGGCCACCTGCCACATGTTTAGTCATAGCTCAGCTGCTGTTGACTTCAGAGGGGATGAACGCTCCGAACAGGGAATTCTTTGTGTGACACGTCAGAGCAGAGCAATGTGGGAACACTGGAGCAGCTTAATGAGAGCAGCATGAGGTGTCTTTATGTGAAGCAGAGCCATCACTCTGCCAAGGTTTCTTAATTAAATCTGGTCAATCTTTTATTTTCTTTAACTAAAAGGGCTTTTTTTTATGATCCTCTGCCATTTCTATACAGTTGTTAAGTGAAAAAGTGAAAGTGTTTGTTGGAAAATGTGTTGCAAATTGTACAATTTTCATGTCAACTGTCGCCCAGGGAGTTGTAATGTATACAGCTTTTTACATTTGGGATATTTTTTGGCACCTTTGCTTGAGGTACTTGAGTTTTTGTACAATGATCAAATAAACTGCAATACAAACATTACATTTAAGTGTGTGGAGGTTTATCTTTTACAGTAGTATTGTGTGCCGTCATGAGTACGTTTCCCCAGCAGAGGGCGCCCTTGTGTAAAAACAATCATAATTCCTGCTTAAAAAGTTTATGACAGACAAAAAAGGACAAGGTGGAGATGTGTTTGAACAAAAATACATTGCGTTTTAATCAACATTACAAAACAAAATCGGCTATGGATCATTCACCTGCTAGGATAACCGGTTATTAAGGCACATATTTCACACCTCCAACCCTTCCATTCAGTAGCTGCCTGTGTGAGCAAGAGTCATACTTAGAAGTCACACGACATGAATTGCAAAAATTAGCCAGAGGGTCACAGTGACTCTCTGTCATGCCGACCTGGCAATCTGTGATTTTAATAGTCTGTTTTCGCTTTACAAAAAGTACAAAGTGCTCATTCATCAATGATTCTGTCAACAAAATGAACTTGTGAAATACGATTCTTGTAATGAGCAACATGATGCCTCGATTAAAAGTAAAAATTAGTCCTGCTAATAATAAGAAATTCACTTTCTTATAATCATTAATCTATATCCATCAATTACACAGGAGTGTAAAAACCAACACATTGAGATTTTGGAATGTATAAAAATATGCACAATATTAACAGAAAGGCTAAAGGACTAATAAACGTCCATGTGTATTTGCAGTGTGTACTTAAATGTTTTTTGGAGATGTACACACACAATACAGACAGCAGGAGAAATAATCCGGCCATTCTGATAAACCATATCTTTGGTGCTCTGTCATCCGTGCCTCATTAAAATAACATTTTAAATAACAATAGTGAAGATAAATCATGAAAGTGCAACATTGAAATATGCTGGTCAGTGATTCAGCATGTTACATTCAGATACACAAAAAAAACGGATTCTAAGTTCCTTTGTGAAGTATAAGGAAACAATAAAATCATATATTTCACATTTTCCTACACATTTCCTATCTACTGTGCATATAAAGCAACACATCTGTACATTGCAAAAATAAATGCTGAAATGCCTAATGTTTATTATAGGCAGACGTTGCTGGCCTAAATATTAAACTGAGGTTAGGATGTGTAACAGAGTCGGGAACACACTGGCCCCGTTGTGCTGTCGGAGTTTCACAGTTAGCCTCTTTCTTCTTTGGGTTTGAATCTTTGAGGTAAGCCTTTTTAGGTAGCACATTAACTATATGTGTCTTCAGGAAGGCGGTTATTGGTTACTTCCCCTGTCAGATCATTCATGTCTGAAGGTGAACTATGCATCTGTTTCAGCTCAGCAGCCTTATCTGGGTCCTCAGGGGAGAGGCTTTTGGGGGGCGGGGGATCCTTACGGGAGAAATAGTGAGGCAGGGTAACCATGGTCAGAGTACCGAGAACAACGAAACCTCCCGCTACCATGAAGGACGCCGTGTAGTCCCCGGTGATGTCCTTCAGTAACCCTTGGGAGACAGAAAAACACACAATAAGAACTAAAGAGTATAAAGATGTTGCTTGAGAGGTTTCAAATAGTTACAATTCTGAGGAGAAACTAGGAAGACGCTAAATGCTAGCCTCATGCTAATTCAGAAAAACATTATTCCAATGAATACAAGATAGAAGAAGCCCTGTTTAATGTTTAACAAATAACCAATGTCATTGCTTTTATTCAGTTTTATGTAGTTTAATTAGGGCTAATTGCCATAACTAACTAAATCAAGCGCAGGTGTGACTGATGAAGCTAATTGCAGCTCAAGAAACGAAAGTAACATGTAAGAGACAGGATGGAGAGACTTTTGAGTGAGTCAGTGGTGGTGAGTGTGGTTTAGTTTCTTAAACGGACTGTACATGTTCTACTGAGGAAAAGTTCTTACATTATTAATGCTTTAGCTCCCAAAATGAAATGCCATTCATTCCGATTGTATTGGGATAGAGTAGTTATCTGAGTAGCTATCTGAGTAGTTATCTGAGCAGCTATCTGAGTAGCTATCTGAGTAGTTATCTGAGTAGCTATCTGAGCAGCTATCTGAGTAGCTATCTGAGTAGCTATCTGAGTAGCTATCTGAGTAGTTATCTGAGTAGCTATCTGAGCAGCTATCTGAGTAGCTATCTGAGTAGTTATCTGAGTAGTTATCTGAGCAGTTATCTGAGTAGCTATCTGAGTAGCTATCTGAGTAGTTATCTGAGTAGTTATCTGAGTAGCGATCTGAGTAGCTATCTGAGCAGCTATCTGAGTAGTTATCTGAGCAGCTATCTGAGTAGCTATCTGAGTAGTTATCTGAGCAGCTATCTGAGTAGTTATCTGAGTAGTTATCTGAGTAGCCATCTGAGTAGTTATCTGAGTAGCTATCTGAGTAGCTATCTGAGTAGTTATCTGAGCAGCTATCTGAGTAGCTATCTGAGTAGTTATCTGAGCAGCTATCTGAGTAGCCATCTGAGTAGTTATCTGAGCAGCTATCTGAGTAGCTATCTGAGTAGTTATCTGAGTAGCTATCTGAGTAGTTATCTGAGTAGCTATCTGAGTAGTTATCTGAGCAGCTATCTGAGTAGTTATCTGAGTAGCTATCTGAGTAGTTATCTGAGTAGTTATCTGAGTAGTTATCTGAGTAGCTATCTGAGTAGCCATCTGAGTAGTTATATGAGTAGCTATCTGAGTAGCCATCTGAGTAGCCATCTGAGTAGCTATCTGAGTAGCTGTTATCTGAGTAACCATCTGAGTAGCCATCTGAGTAGCTATCTGAGTAGCTTATCTGAGTAGCTATCTGAGTAGCTATCTGAGTAGTTATCTGAGTAGCCATCTGAGTAGTTATCTGAGTAGTTATCTGAGTAGCTATCTGAGGTAGCCATCTGAGTAGCCATCTGAGTAGTTATCTCTGAGTAGCCATCTCTGAGTAGCTATCTCTGAGTAGTTATCTGAGTAGCAAGGTACCGTTACAGGTTAGGTGAGAATAAATAGTTTTTTGTAATCTGGGTGTACTGACACTTTAAGACATCTTGATCAATTTCAATCTGCTACACCCTCCCACTGTATGTCAGTGACCTGTGTCCTTAGTCACACTCCAAACATCTGTAATGGGTAGGGCATTATAACCTTGTGATGAACTGCCCTATAACTTTTTGTAATTATGGTTTCATATCAGCTTTTTGATAGAAAATGAAAAACTGGCATTTCCCTCTTTTGGTCATCATGACATCTTCTCAATTTGAGCTCTGATGTTTATGAGCTGCTTGGTTTCTGCCGCGGCCCCTGTATCAAAGAACAAGTCTTCCTTTTTCTGGACTGTGAATACTTGATCGTAAAAACGATGTAACCTCTGTTGAAGGGTTTAAATACCCACTTTCATTTCAAGCTAGTAGGTTTGGATTGGCACTTCAAATGGCGGACCCTCCAAATGAGTGCAAGTGGGTGTAGGGATATATTACAATTGGAGTGGAAAAACAGAAGAGGAAAAGAAGTGACTGATAACTAAATTAAAGGTCACCTATTATTCCAAGTCCACTTTTTCATATCTTTTATAAATAAACATGTGATCCCCTCTGTGGAAAGAGATTCTGAAAGTTTCAGGAAAAAAGATTCTCTCTTTTTGTCCTGATCCATTTCTATAAAAATCTGTCTGAAAATGAGCTGATCAGATTTTGGCCACTTTATGATGTCATACATTTTTTTTGGCTTGTGTAACCATTAGCCAATCAGCAACCAAGGTAACCGCCCCACCTTATCACCTGAATCTCCTCCTAGAGCACCATTGTGTTCTTTTTAACCAAATCTCTCTCAGAGGGGCGTGGGGAGGGGCTCCTTATTTTCATCTAAAGTAACAGACAAAGAATCAGCACTTTTGAAACAGGGCTGAAACAGAGGGGATTATGGGATGCTGCAATGATCTGTTTGGTGTTTGGAGCCAAACACTTCAGAGACATGTTTGTATATATCTGAGACCTATAATATATTGATGAAAAACAGTATCATAGGGGACCTTTAATGTTTGACTATACTTGTATCATATGTGTGTGATTAAGGTCCCTTT